TTGACGTATATAACAACTTTATTACCATTAGATTCATGTTTATAACAACTTTATTACCATTAGATTCATGTTTATAACAACTTTATTACCATTAGATTCATGTATATATAAGCTTGAAGAACAACCTTACCAGCTAAAAAATATATTCAACGATTTCCTCCTCATATTTGGGTATCGCAACAGGTCGATGACTGTCACGTGATTTTGTTTCTCCAGCTCTTCTTCCTAACGTTAAACATTGTAAACCTAATTATTGTCCTACTAACATCCCAAATAACATCTCTGAATTACAGTATGCTCAATTTTTTGTTTCATCTTATAGTTTTTATTAAAATTAATCAGATCATTTCTTTAAAGGGTTTATTTTCTCAGCTTATTTAAAAACAGCTTGTTGACAAAACCAGCAAACGTCCAAACACCAGTTTATCAAGGGGTTTATGGATTCTTTGACAAATGGAAACGAACTTAACGAAGGGTTTATAACGTATATTAGCTTACTAATACATTTTCAGTTGTTTGTAGAAATGAAAATACTCAAACAATCAGTTTCAGAAACCGTCTACACATATAGCCATATTAAAGAAAGTATGTTGCTTCTTGACCAATGGAATTTGAGTAAGCGTTTTAATCTCTTTTTATATAAGAAAAGCATAAAAATTATTGAAAATAATATCAAAGACTTTCACCTTCTCAGCCTTAGCTTTTAAAATCTTCAATGCGTTTTGCAAATGAGACATGTCTTTCTTATTAACGAGCATAACTTTAACCAATTCCTTCTCAGCTTCGTCGAACTTGTTATGCGTCAAAAGCCAACGTGGAGACTCAGGAAGAATCCTAGGGGGACAAAAAAAAGAGCTTTTTGTGTAAAAACGAACTGCATTTATACTAGAGGATAAGCGAGTATAATACTATGGGGAAACGAAGCGGAAATTATCCCAGTGAAACAGATTTAGTGTTACGTGGGAGTAAACAGAAATTATTCCAATGGAATGAAATCTCTAATGTTCTATAAAATGAAACTAGAAGTACTCAAGTGGAATAAGGTCTGTAGTGTTTTATAAAATGAAACTAGAAGTATCCAAGTGGAACAAGGCCTGTAGTGTTCTATGAAATAAAACTAGAAGTATTCAAGGGGAATAAGGTCTGTAGTGGTCTATAAAATAAAACTATAAGTATCCAAGTGGAACAAGGTCTGTGGTGTTTTATAAAATGTAACTAGAAGTATCCAAGTGGAACAAGGTCTGTGGTGTTCTATAAAATAAAACTAGAAGTATCCAAGTGGAACAAGGTCTGTAGTGTTCTATGAAATAAAACTAGAAGTATCCAAGTGGAACAAGGCCTGTAGTGTTTTATAAAATGTAACTATAAGTATCCAAGTGGAACAAGGTCTGCAGTGGTCTATAAAATAAAACTAGAAGTATCCAAGTGGAACAAGGTCTGTAGTGGTCTATAAAATAAAACTATAAGTATCCAAGTGGAACAAGGTCTGTAGTGGTCTATAAAATAAAACTATAAGTATCCAAGTGGAACAAGGTCTGTAGTGGTCTATAAAATAAAACTATAAGTATCCAAGTGGAACAAGGTCTGTGGTGTTTTATAAAATGTAACTAGAAGTATCCAAGTGGAACAAGGTCTGTGGTGTTTTATAAAATGTAACTAGAAGTATCCAAGTGGAACAAGGTCTGTGGTGTTTTATAAAATGTAACT